ACCCAGGAGATTATGATTTGAGTGAACACAAAGAATAAATGCACCGGCGCCAGATCTTAGAAACAGATGTAATGTTTTGATTTGTTCACTTCCAGGTATATTTGACTTGCTTTTCCTTCAATAAACATCACATGTCGAGATAAACGATGTCTTGACAAGTAAAGCACATGACCTTATTAAACATTGTTTCGGAGCACTTAGTAAGAAAGTGTAGCTATTTGAACCCAGTATCGTAAAAGAGTTAAATACTTAGAGTTCCTGTTAGAGCAATATTTATTTCATAAGTAGGGGTGATACTGAAAGATTATGAAACACAAAGCAGAGGTCTCTAGAGATAAAGATTGTACTTTTCAATACTCGTTTATTCATCGGAATGCAAGCTAACTTACAGACTGGTGCATTTGCACTGGGATTCAAGCTACCAGTGACTTAAGTGAGATAAATCCACTCTAGACAATAGTTTGGTGAATCTGCTGCTTCCACTAGGGTTCCACTTCTTAATAAGGTAACTAAGATTACTAACTTTATTCTCGCCTCTTACCTAGCAAAGCAGTATAGGCCGCCAACCAGCATTCTCCAAAATACTCTGTCCTGAGCCTTTCCTTTCTAGTTCTGTCCAATTGTTGTTCATTCTTCTCATTTCTGTCTCCACTTCTCGATGTATTGAGTTTCTTGGTCTTCCTCTTTCCGTTTGGTCTTGATGATTCGAGGGAAAGGATTGTCTTTTGACGCAATTATGTACCATCCTCCTCCAGTGCTTGTTTCTGATTTCTTCCTCCGTTGGAATCCGGTTTGTTCTATCCCAAAGTAGGTTGTTACCGATGATGCCCGGCCAACAGCTCTGAAGTATTTTGGGTAGACAACTATTGGTAATAACTTGTATCATCTGGATGATGGCTTTCTTGGTTCTACAAGTTTACGCTTCATACCGTAGAACTGTCTTGACATTTGTATCGTAAATTGTGACGTTGGTGTTTGTTGATAGTTGTTTTGAGTTGCGGACGTTCTTCAATTGTAGAAATGTTGCCCTTGCTTTGCCGATCCGCGCCTTCACAACTGCATCAGATCCGCCGTACTCATCAACTATGCTCCTTTGATATGTAAAGATTTTCACACCATCCGAAGCCTCTTCATCAAGTGTGATTCGGTTGCAGCATGTTGTGTGGTACCGAAGGATACGTTTATTGTTGCGTGTGCGATAGAAGAGCCAGATCATCTGCGAAGTTTAGGTCGTCCAGGTGCTTCCTGGCTGTTCACTGTACACTGTGCTCCCCTCCAGATGTGAACGTCTTCATAGTCCGATCGACCATCAGGAGAAAAAGAAGGAGTAAGAGTAAGCAACCCTCCAGACACCGGTCTTCATCTCGACCGAGTTCGTCTGCTGTTCTGTGAGCACAATTTTGCAGGTCTCCATGGTAGTTTCTTATCCGTCGTCAGTCAGTCAATTACAATCTAGAACTTCGTACTTACATACATCAGTTCAGGTTACCATACCATATTAGCACACAGATGAAATCGTCACTTCAAACCCCATAGTAGTAGATGTAGTAGAAGTATTAGCAATAACCGGAGAGATTAGGGTTCGAAGATTTTATTCAAGGAGTAGAATCTAGTGAAATAAAAAGAAAAAGAAAACGATAAAAGCGATGAAGAATTCAGGTTACAATTTGAAAGAACACATACAATGAATGCACCTGCTCCAATGCAAATGGTTTTCAGCCATGTCATTCTGAGCGCCTATCAATTCGGGGGATGCTACTGGTTTACCATACTAGTAGATATCACTGCTGTTTCCACAGCTTTTTGATATCATTCCAAGCTGCCTCAGAGTGGCATCGCTTACTACATGGCTGCCTAACTGTTTTTCTAGTTGTTCCTGAATTATATTCATAACTCCGGTATCATTAGGTGTAACCATAAAAAGTTTTCTTGAGGTGTCTTTCCTACGTCCAGTAAGCAGCAGTTAAATACGCGCTCGTACTAGATACTGATCTGAATCTAAACATATGCCCTAGAACGAGCGACAGTCCTCTATCGAACCACTCCATCGATGGCTGATGTGATCTAGTTGGGACCAGCGTTTGGACAAAAAAGAGGGTAGCCAGGTTTAGAGATATTTTTCCTTATGCTTAAAGTTAGTATTCGCTAGAAATAGGCGGTTATCTGACCATCGTTACAGCAGACGATCGCCATTATTTGTTCGATCAGCTGAGACACCATAAGATCCACCCAGGTGTCCTACCTAATTGAACATTGCAGTCACCAGACATTATTACTATATCAGATCACCTAACTCTTTGGAGGTTCGAAAAGTTTCTGTAAAACTCATCTTTGATCTCGTCTGAACTCAAGTCAAAGGGAGCGTAGGCAGATACAACGAAAAGTTTTTAGTCGGACAGCGCACAAGCGACTATCTACTGGGATCCAGTCTAGGAGAGCTAGTTCTGCCCCAGGATTTAATGCTATCCCTACGCCAGCGGGGCCCTGAGAAGCAGAAGCATGTCTTTCAGATACAGTAAGAGTAAATCGAGTTAATTCTTTATTTTGACATGGTGAGGTCAAATGAATGACGCTATTCGGATCCTGCATGCGCATTTCGGAGACGCAGCATAAATAGATGGTGAGAGATTCTAAAGTCCTAGCTAAGGAAGCCTGTTTTCCTCCTACTTGACACAATGTCCGGACATTAAAAGCTCCAACATGTTTAGAATGGGGTTTCAGGAGACCAGTAATAACGTTTCGGGAACTTGCACCGTTTGCATCAGCGGTGCAAGATAATAAAGGAATGTGAGAAGAGTTAGTCGTGGAGATAAAAGGGTTATCAAGAAGCGTAGGAAGGATTTGATTGTGACCAATTCGGTCTCGTGTGTTGTTATAGGTATGGGAGCGGACGTCACTTACCACCTGCTTACACGGTAGAAGATTGTTTCTTGAAGAACCTGAAAAGGAAGGTAGAGACCTGAGAGCGTGACCGCAGAGCCCGAAGGACAACTACTTGAGGCCTGTCACGCACGGCCATTTTATTAGAAGTTTTTAAAGTATTATCTCCGCTTTTGTTTAAAAAGCCTTACCGCCAGAGACGGAAATCCGTGGGGCAATGTGGGGTGTGACATTTTAAGGGTCGACCTTTTTTAATCATTTTCTTCGCTATGAGAAGGCAGCATCGCTGCAGGTGCTGGTTGTCCGAGGGAAAAACCTTACTGCTGTCACACTCCTCTACAGTCCGCAGTACGACTTCGCCCTCAAATGTTGGTTAGCTGCCTTTAGTCTCATCGTTGTCCAATCGACCTGCGTGGCATGGTAGGACCTTCAGAAACATATGTTCCAGCCAATAGAGTTCCGTTGCGTCATGCCCAACCCTTTTCGTTTATCCGGACTTGGGATCGGTAGAAGCCCCAGATAGGTTCCAGGAGGAATAGAGGTAACTTTGTTCATATAATGAATTCCTAAAGAAAGACATGAAGCTGTTACTATAAACGCAACTAGCTGGAATAAGTCAACCGTTATTAGGAAGGGGAAAGTTCCTTATAAGCTGAACTTTACATACCACATTCCTAATTATCTTCATGATATTTCACAGCTAAAATAATATGTATCCACATTTCGCGGTTGAGATCCAATGCAAATCGATGCCTACCAAAATATATGTGATTGAAGTTTATCACAGAGTACCATTCAAATCGTCAACTCAAATATTCATTTTATATCATGATACCAGCTCAAGATTTATTGATCTCGACATTTATTATACAAATACCCTGCTATCAGCTAGAATGCATCCTGTATTTGCAATCTGTCATTGATTAAAGTGTGTACAATGTGTACGGTGCAATATTAGTAAATTTTTGATTGCACTATGGTAATTGCAAATGCAAATCCAGTTGTACTCCATAATCCTATTTAGAACACATAACTAGTAGTATTAGTATTGCAATACCATGTTACTGATTACTTTAGGTAAGGAAAAATGCATACCATAAAATCCAATTTTGAAGAATAGAAAATTTTTCATACTGTAGTGTTAGAAATAGATGAGAATTACTTTGTACACAATCACGTCTTCGATTAATATATATACATCAACACAACAAACTCATATTTCCGTGGTTTTTCGCAGTCTTTATATGCTTATCTAACTGCAACTATCGGATTATATTCTGGACGGGTTTACTATTTGTATTTCCCTAAATACATATGATGCGTGTTCTTCTCTGAAATTCGATGCAGTGATTCCGAAATAATTTGTTAGGATATTCATCAAATATCTTAAAGAAATAATTTTGTAAGTCTAATTCTATTGGTCGATTCCTATTGGTTAATATTTAAGGTCGTTCGAAACTATCAAGTTCACACACTTTTAAATGTTGTTTCCTATTGGTTAGTATTTACGGTCGACTTAACTGTATAAATATGCATTATCTGCAAAGTTTTATGCTCCGCTTCTTCTTCTCCTTCTGTACAAAACCTCATATTTTCTGGGTGCTTGTATAGAATACACTTTCTACGCCAAATCAAGACATTTTGATACCGTTAGTGGGGGCTTAGGACGCTCGGATTAGATTAACCTATCGTGTAAATGGATCATTTGTCTTCGCTCTCGTTTATCGACTAGGGTGAACTCGCATTATTTCAAGCATACGAATTGACGAGCATAACATAAATACAACACAACAACAACAACAAATAGTTAATGACGAGCTAATAATCTAAGAAAAAAACTTTTGAGCACACAACTGAAACGCTTACAACTGAAGAAAAAATCCTTCTCCAAATGAATACCTACTGTGGTGCGAGCTACTTATAAGTAGTATATGACGTGAGTGTCAACGTAATGTCTGGCAGCAGAAGATGGGGGAAGATCAAGAAAGGAAGAGTTAGAAAACAATGGAATTTGTATGAAACGCATGAATAGTGACGATGGATTGATGTTTTGCAACAGGAACATTCCAGTTCGATATGATGGACTGATATTTTGCAAATTAACGATTTACGATATGATTTCCCGATTTTACTAAGTAACTCTGAAATTTTCGTTCAATACAATTCGGTTGCCCCACCTGTGTTCTCCTTCAGTACACTACTAATTCGAAAACAATCAGAAAGCTATTTTTTTTTCTATCAGTAAATGTTTATTTCTTTTATTTTATTTTATTTTTTTTTTGTAATATACAAAAGAAAAACTATTTACAACTATAATTAATGATCATTGAATGCCTGAGAATTCTCTTAACCATCTTAAACGATGACCGCGACGTTTAATAGCATATGGAATAAGTGGTTTACGCATTGAAATACCTAAAGCTCCAGGAGTCCAAGCTGATAATAAAATATCATTACAAAATAATTCATTATTATCATTATTATCATTATCATTGTTTTCATTGACAATATCATTTTCAGTGGATATTTCATTGAAATTATTTTCATCTGATAATTTTTGAGTTCTCTTTGGTAAACCAGCTATACTAATCCATCCTATAATAGAGAAAGAATATAATATTCAAATAAAAAGTTACAACTATAGTTCAATTATGCATATATTGTAACTAAACAGAATAGGCTGGAAGAAAGTTAGGGGCGGTCAAACCAAAACATGGCACAAATCCATGAAGTCATTGACGAGTGGACTGATCCCTTTTGTCGGTAATTGTCGACTACCTGGTTGGGGTCCGCGAGATGATAATAATCGATGGTTAGAGACCTTGAATAACATGGTTCAAAACCGTTCGCAATGGCGCCGGTGCATTTATTCTTTGTGTTCTCTCAAATCCTAATCTTCTGGATTCTTCAACACCTCTAGTTTTGACTTTCTAAACTTTTCTCACTGAATCATACTTCTTGAATAATATTTTCTAATCCTAACCTCTCCGATTACTTCTAATACCTTTACTACCTCTTCTACTATTGGATTTGAATTGACAATTACATCTCTGTGCTGATGTGGTATGGCAACATGAACTGATGTACTTATGTACGAAGTTCTACGTTGCATCTGACTGACTGAACTAAACAAATGAAGATATTTTTATAGAAACTATGAGGAAAAACAATCACAAGGAAAAATAACGAGAATTTATTAAATGTTATGATTACAAATGGACGATAAAAAGTAATTTCTCTCGCTATATATTTAAAATCTGATCTCTCTCAATGATAACAAGCAAGTTAGTTGGCAATAGATAAAGATTGTAAGTAAGTTTTTTATTTAAAAACAAATACTAATTGCCACTTATCAATGTTCATAAGATGCCAGGGTTTTGGATTAAAATTGCACTAAGATTATGGTTTTGTTTCAGTAATCAAGAAGTACACTTAATTAGCACATTTCACAGGAGAATAATGTGAAGTAAAAATGAACAGATTAGATGCATATATATATATATATATATATATATATATATATATATATATATATATATATCCAAAGGAAGCTTCAGTCAGTCAGTCAGGACTTCGTACGTACGTACATCAGTTCATATTGTCATACCACATTAGCACTGAGACAAAACTGTCAATTGAAAACCTCTTGTGGTAGAGATTTTGGAAGTATTAGCAATAATGGAGAGGATTAGGGTTCGAAGATATGATTCGAGAAGTATAATTCAGTGAGATAAATTTAGAAATAGAAAGATAGAGATGGTGAAGAATTCTGAAGATTAGAAGTTCAGAGAATACAATAGGTGCATGCAACTGCAGTATTGCAAACGATTTTGAGCCATGTCTCTAACCATCGATGACTATCATCCTGCGGACTCCAACCAGGTAGTCTACACTTATCAACATGACTCAGTTCACTTGTCCGTGACTCCATGGACTTCTGCCATGTTTTGGTTAGGCCACCCCTAGCTTTCTTCTAACCTACTCCTACACTACAAAATATCGTTCGTCGAGGCAATCATCACTTGGGTGTACGTAACACATGTCCGACAAACTCAAGTGATTAAGTTTCACTACCTTATCTATTGATTTACCGTCCTTAACTAGTACTCGTTAGCTAACAACAGCATTGCTAACTCGGGTGTCCCAGGATACACGAGCAATGCTTCGGAGACACCTATGATCGAAAACCAGTAACCTATGAATATCTTCTATTCTGACTGACTATGTTTCGCAGCCATAACATAGGACGAAGTGATGAACAGTAAACCCGTCCTTTGGGTGGTAGACGGATATCTCGCCTACGCCATGAGTGACGCAAGTTGGCAAAAGCCAATCGAGCCTTTTTTATCCGTGCTGAGGGATTTCGTTAGTCACCAGGTAGCTTGCAATGAAATACAAAAGAGTATATAAACTGAAGAATAATAAATGAACTCACCTGCTCCAGATAAAACCACATCTACATTAGATTGATCTAAATTAGGTACAGCTTCAATAGGATCAAGAGCTTTTGATTGCATCGGTGGTAATAAACCACAAGGTCCAGCAGTAGTAGTATTATTATAATTATCATTAATATGAACAGAATTATTTTTAATTTTTGGCATAAGAAATTTGAAAAATCGATTTCTATACTCATCAACTTCTTCTATTGATACAATATGAATTGGAAGATGTGAAAAAGTGGTAAAATAAACAGAGTTTGGAGCCTAGAGAAATAAAGAATGAAAAGAAATAAAATCAACAGAAAGAAATCAAAACATGACATAAATTTTGATAATCATTTGGTTTGTAGAGAATAAAAAAACCAAGAAAGTTGTAATGATCATCAGTTGTTAGTTGCATATATTTAATTATTGATATTATGACGATGAATTTGTAATTGAATACTCAATATGAGAAATATTTCGAATTCATAGCTAGTAAGTTAAAGAAATATGAGGTCTGTTGTAGTGATGTGCTTGGGTTATTACGAGTTTAGCTTACACGGTAAACGGAAAGACGATCAATGGTTCAGTAACACGATAGGCTATTCTAATCCGATCTTCCCAGGCCCCACTAATTAAAGAAAGAAGTCCTGATATGGCTTAGAATAGAGCTTATTTATACACGATAGAAAGGTCCTTGCGAGAGTTACGAAAACAGCGTACTACAATAACACATCAAACAGTGACGGTCAAGGATTTTTCCGGGTGGGAAATGCATGCTGAAGGTCAAAATAAGCGTCTTTCGCGCGAAATTCAATAGGTGAAATTCACATTATTCTTGTTCACTGAGTTATCTCTGCTTTGTCTTGACCAACACACGCTTTAACAAAAACCAAATCAGAATAAGCTGGCGGACTTATTTTTAACTCATCAGTGCTAGTGGATGAACTGCGAAAATGCTAGGAGATTTCTCTAATGTTGCATCATCGAAAATTGACATTCAGGATGCTGGAATATATATATATATATATATATATATATATATATATATATATATATATATATATATATATATATATTTAAGAACACATTTAGAGGCAACTAAATATTCATCTGCCATACAACTCATTGAATTCATGTGTGGGTGAGATACTGTCCAAGTGCCTAAACCAAAGCAGATGGTTTCTTTCGAGGGCCACTCCCCGAGCCTTTGACCCAAAGGTCTAATCCACAAGGCAGTCAAGTAAAGTTACTAGATGCAATTTCATGGTAGCCAGTGACAAACAATAAGTTCACAGGTCATTTGATACTACTTTAGGACCACGTAGCCCATGTACACCATTAATTTGTAACTAGGCTTTTCCAACCCTCCTAAGTGAACCCTCCATACTCACTAACCTGGTTAAAGCACTGGTCAGTCAATTAGTCAGCTACAATGTAGAACGTCGCACATAGATACATCAGTTTAAGTCGCCATGCTACATTAGCACACAGAGATTGAACTGTCACTTCAAATCCCATAGTAGTAGAGGTAGTAGAAGTGTTAGCGGTAACCAAAAAGATAAGTGATCGAAGATATTATTCAAAGAGTATATCCCAGAAGAATCAGTTAAAAATAAAGAGAAAAAACAGTCTTGAGGAATTCAGAAGATTAGAATTTGAGAGAACACAAAGAATGGATGCACCTGAAAGCTGGAATTCAAAGATGATTCGCGCTCAATACTTGTTCTGATTTAGGAGAGGAACACTGAATTATAATGGCCAAGGAATATATTTATACATATTAAAGCATAGAAACTCCAAAAAAAGAATATATATGAAACGAGTCTTTTAAAAGGTGAACAATCAACGATAGTTATGATTTTGTAATCAAATAAGCAGATCGGTTTTAAAAAACTTCATTCATTCTAATACCTTAAAATAGGTTACAATTATATTTTCTTTTTTGATTGTGGTTGTTGGCTCACAGGGATTTAAACTGCTGAACGTCGTAATTGCTCTTAAATCACTTTCAACTTTTAGACCATTAATTAAAACCAGAAACCATTGGACAAATGTTTCCTCAACAGAACACATTTTCAAGTATTCACCGAAACAGGTCGAATTAGGGACCGTCAGTCTAGTACATAATCACTTAACCTCTAAGCTAATGAGCCGAAAATTAATTGAAATCCGACTTGTAAATCATTAAATACCAATTCAAGGACTTCGAGATTAAGTGTTCATGTGCTAGATTAACGGCCCCTGATTCGACCCATTTTTTGGTGGGATCCTGGATGCATTCCGCTGATGAGTTTCATACTAAAAACGAAAAAGTTGTCCAGTGCAAACTTTAATATCCACATACCCTTCTATAATTTCAACGTGAATTATAAATTACAATAAACCAAAATAAGAAATGACTTATTTTTGTAGATAATTTTCTATTTTACTTATTCAACATGTTTCCAGTAATTGTTCATTATCCAGAAGAATCTATGCTAGGCAGTGTCATTTGATTGTAGTGGTGTTTCGTTCTCTGAGCTGGTTGTTAGCAGAACAAGCTACAGGTCAAACGTGGAGAAATTCGAATGCTTCACTTCTATCTGAAGTTCGTGCTGATGATGTTGTTCAGAAGAACAATGAAAGCTCCACAACCAAAAAAACCAGCTCAGAGAACGAAACACCACCACAATCATCCACCTGAGCTACAAGTTTTCTCCACCATCTCAAAGTGTCATTTGAATTTAAAGCTGAACTTATGCACGTCCACTTCACATTGGAACAAGTTTTATCATACGAATTTCAAAAAAAGTAAGTTCTTAGCGTTAATACTATTCAGTGAATTGTGTATTTATGAAATAATGTTGAATACTAAGTATAACAAGAACTTACTTGTAAAACATCTAAACGACCAAGTAATCCCATTAAAAGTGTCAAACCCGGTCGCATAACAAATGTACGAGGAATTAAAACTTTATTATTTACACCATTTGGTAAATGATAAATACCAGTTCCTTCGGATTTGTAATTAGCCATAGAATGTAATAAGTTTGATGATAAGTAGTTAAGAATCTAGGGGAAAAATGTAACATACATAATAAGAAAATATCAACAACATGTGTACATTGAAATGATGTCAAGTCATGTAATTAGGCTAATATACCGACTGAAAGTAAACAAAAATTGAAATTTCAATATACTGACTACCTTGAAAGTAACGTCTGAGAGTCGAAATCAGTTGAAGAAACGCTACGTTGTTTTTGGTCCCGTTTTAAATACTAAATAAATACACACACATACACCCTCTCTCTTTGAGTAATAGCTGACTGGTTTGAAAAAAAATAAGCGCTTAGTTTCTAACCCGTAATCAGGTCTAATGTTCAAATCTCCAACTTTCGATTTTAGTCTGAGTAGGCAAATTGGTACCATTTGCTCACACCTCAAATACCTGAATCCGTAGACATGTACTCGGATACTAGTTCTCATGATGAGCGTAGTGTCCAAGGTCGATACCGATACACAAACTTTCCTAATGATACACATTCCGACTAGTTATTGAGAAGGCAAAAAACAAAGGAGGAACTTTGTTGAACTGAACCGAATCAAAATGAATAAGTACCCATATATGGCAACAAGAATTAGCTTACAATTAGCTCTTATAGATTTACATAAGGAAAGGAAAGTATTATTACGTCACTACGGTGGTGTTTCGTTCTCTCAGCCGGATGTTTTGGTTCTGGAGCTGAGAGAACGAGACACCACCACAAACAATCAAGCACCTGAGCTACAAATTTCCTCCACCATCTCATTATTACGTTTACATTTATTTGGAATGATTTTTGTTCAAGACACAAGTGTTGCATGAACGGGGTTCGCCTGAGAATAATATACGGATATGAGATGGAAGATTCGTTTCATAGCAAATTTAATTGTTTGTAAATATTGGAGACAGATTCCGGGCCACTAAATATAATGGACTTAAGAGGAGTACGGGTAACTAAATTTTTTTTTGTACCACATAATTTTTCCCTTAGTTATTAATAGCACATTTTATAAATCACCTAAAATTTTGAGTCACCCAATGTCAAGCCAAGATGTGTGTGTTAGGTAGATAACGAGAATAAAATGAGCTACTTATTTGGAAGTGTTTAGTGGCTTGCGATCTGACTCCTATTCGGGCGAACAATTGCGTATTCTACAAAATAAATCTTTGCATCAATTTTCATTTGTGTGACAGTTTCGCGGATGAATTTATTCAATACATTCATTTAAGCAGACAGACAGTAGTAGAATGTGAAGCGTACATTCGCAGCCCAGGCAAGCGAGCCAACTCAATGCGATGAAGCGTAACTAAGTATTTCTAGTCAGGCGAAAATAGGCTAGACACATGTGATAATCGAAGTAAGCATGCAAACACGTAACTCAAATAAAAACAACTATGGACATGAACGAATAATAAACAAGGTCGAAGGGCATGTGAATAACTCGAAATGGATTGATTAAATCATCCAAAGGCTGAGACAAACTCTGTGGTTTCAAGATGTTAACACACACACACCACGAGTGAGAGGGAAAATTCAAAGAACAATGATTGGTCAATCCACATTGATATCGCTAAATTGTGTGACAGGAGCTTGTTTTCAGGTCATGTAAACAAATAAGTAATATGAAAAAACAGAATTAGATATATAGACTAGTTACATTGCTTAGATATGTAAGACTTTCATTTTTTTTCATCATACTTGGCAAGTGTCGGTTTAACAAACTAGTATATACGCATGGAGTAGTACTGTGGTGTGAGCTACTTATAAGTAGTATGTGACGTGAGCGTCAACGTAATGTCTGGAAGCGGGAGATGGGGGAAGATCAAGAAAGTAAGAGTTAGAAAACAATGGAATTTGTATGAAACGCATGAATAGTGACAATGGATTGATGTTTGGCAACAGGAACAGTCCAGTTCGATACGATGAACTGATATTTTGCAAATGAACAATTTACGATATGGTTTTCCGATTTTACTGAGTAACTGTAATTTTCGTTAAATACAGTTCGGTTGCCCCACCTGTGTTCTCCTTCACTACAGTACTTAGTTCGAAGTCTAGAGAATACTGAAAGAATGAACCTATCTATGTCACTGTCACTGAAACTAGTCAATCAATAATTGTCTGCTTTGTAAGCCTAAACAAAGTACATTCTTTAGCTAGCTAGTTCTATCAGTTAACAACTGTATGTCTTAGTTTGACTTTCCACAATCCTTTCACAAACCACTCCTATGCCGTCAAGCATAGGGCAAAAAGAAATCATGGTAACAGTATAACTACTCTATACAGAAGTGATGTCAACGATAATCTTGTAATTTTGAAGCTGTTTTCCAACCAATTAAAAGAGAGAGCCTATAAATTGAAACTATTCCCTTATATAAATAGAAGAACCTATAAAAATTATTGGTTTCTCAAGGTTTATTACCGATTTCCTAATCATCTAATTGCAAAGATAACACCGTAAAATCTCACTTATTTGAACGCAAATGTTTCTATGGGGATAATTTTTGTGACGATAAAATTCCTCATCGGCAACAAATCTCTACAGAGTTAGTAAGATAGAGTTAGCATTCTTAAGCTGTTGTAGCTGGTCAGTTGTTCATGTTATGATGTGCGATGTCCAGATCTAAACGCAATAAGTGTTAACCCCTGAAAACTGTTTGTTTGAGTGAGAAGACAAAGACTGGAATAGGAAGTCTATTTTGCTATGAATAATAGAATGAAGAAATACTTGTCTGCAAATATGTATTCTTCTCCTTAAAATAGAAAGCCATTTCTTAACTAACTAATGATATGCATTTGTCATCAAATGGCCTTATTAGGTCACTTCTGATCTGCTAAGCATGTGAGTTCAGTAAACCACTAACATAGTACCTTCATGAATAGTTGTACCATCAAGAATATGTATTTGTTGCGCTTTTCCTAGTAAAAAAAGAGTTTTTCTTTTCAATTCTAAGCATTCTCAACAGTATATAAAGGTATTTATTAAAAGGCTTTTGATAAAATCTAAGTTGAAAGTCCTTGGCTTTTGACGCCTGTACAAAACTTCTAAAGTTATTTTCTGGGTTTCTGATCAAGTCAATCCATCAATATAGTAGAGTTGTTACACAATGTGATATATATCTCTAGTCAATCACCTACTGTGACTGGATAACTAAACACATATGTATACCAAAATAGAGAAATATTCACACACCCATAAGAATTTACCTGATCTTTACAAAATACACCTGGAGTATCATAACACCATGCATGATCATTAAAATATCGTGCATCTAATACATTTGTTAATAAACGAGTGCCTTGATCTCCGTCCCATGTAGCCTGATCAATGAAAACATTTCCTTGAAATAATCGGGCAGTCAATTGTTCTAATCCGAACTCACTGCCAATACAAACTCCAGAGTTACTGGAATCGGGATCTTCATTCAATTTCCATGTATATGTCGGCATAGTAGACAAGTCTGGCAATGTTTCACGAGCTTTTTGTGCTGCACGATAGTTTGACGAACGTTCATTACAAATACTAGAAATGATTTCTTTTGCTGGAGAAAAGATAAAAAAAAAGCGTAAAAGTGTGCATCTTTATTTATTTTGAATAAATTGTCTTTTTTTTCACATACCTTCAAATAAAACAATAAATGAATTCAGAACATTTATATGACTTTTGGACTTCGAAGTGTGACGCGGTAGAAAATGTAGTTTAAAGGTTTAAACAAAAGTCAATTGGTTAACCGATAGTTTATGTTCTGAGCTTTGAACTACACAGTTTATATATAAAGACCAATACTACAAGTTAGCTGTTCAAACCGAAGTAGATCGAGTATAGTTCAAACTAGATTTTAAAGTAATCCCCTAAAATGATGTTAGTTAATTAAATTTGGAAACAACATATATTCACAAACACAATGCATTTTAGCGATATCTAAGTTAGGTGCAATGTAAGTGTGAAAATAATCAAAGTTTATGAAATGAAGGACAAAGCTGTTACAATTTTACATGAAATCACATCTTCGTATGTAAGGAGTTGTTAATTTTTCGTTGTTGAAGTCAAGGATATCAACTGATCAGTCTCAATTAGTATGAGCATCCTGAGCAAATTGCCTAAATACTGCCAATTAGTCACAAGTTTTATTTACGATAGACTGTGAACAGCAGTGGAATTCAAGATGTTGGTTTTGTTCAACTAAGGACCCATCAGTTAGCTGTACCACATACATCCCGTATAATAATTCCAGGCATGGCGAAATGCATGTCCTGGAATGTATTAATGTTCATTATTCATCAATACTAAATATTCTGAACTAAAGGAAATAGTGGAGAGATTCGTCATTGGTGTTTGACCGACCGTTTTTGAAAGGGAAATGAAAGAATAACCTTGAGTAAATTTCAAAAGATTAATATTTCCTATGCAGCCCCACTGATGTGATGGTCGGGCTTGTCTATCGTGATGACCCAACTGAGCCATATTGGCTGGAACATATACTCCTGAAGGTTCTACCATGCCAGGCAGGTCGATTGGAGAACGATGAGACTAAAAGCAGTTACTCAACGTCTGAGGATAAAGTCATACTGCTGACTGTAGTGGGGTGTGATAGCAGTAAGGTGTTCACCTCGGACAACCAGCACCTGCAGCGATGCTGCCTTCCCACAAGGGAGGGGTTAGAAAAGGTCGACCTTCAGCTCCAGCTAGGCGGAGGACTTTTGTCCTTGCTTATAGACTGGGACAATGAACGATTGAAACCAGTCAGATGGGATTACGCCCAGTTCCCAGATTCAGATTCTCAGTCAGTTCTAACTGCTAAAACTGGACCATCACTCTTAAAAATCTCAGAAGATAACCAATCAGGGCTGGCTGCTCTCCCTAGCTTTAGATTTCCTATAGCTTTTTTAACTTCACTGCCATTCAGGTTGACTGGAGATCGTGGGCAACGGAAGTGCGGTCGAAGTCCAGTTGAACTAATCCCTGTCCTTATCTTTTTGAGTTCTTAATGCCCGTTTAGTCGGACAGCGTTAACAAGAATTAGTTATTTTAGGAAATAGGTTGTTAAATAAACGCTGGTTAGATTATGAATGCAGATAACTGATAACTGGAAAAAAATGTCTAGCATTCATTAACAGAAACTACCAAAAACTTGCTAACCATTAAAAAAGCTACAAAAATAAACGTTCACAGTATTTCTATAAAACTAAGGAATAACAGACTAATAAAATCTAAAATCAAAGATATAGAAGCGTAAAATTAAGAAATCGCATGGATATCAGATATGGTTTGTCTATCAGATGGATACTTTTGTTGTGTCCATATCAAAATCCCTTTTTGCTCTTTTACAGTGAAAATGTTGTTGAAAATATTTATTAGAACAAACCAGAGATAAATGCACAAGGCAACCACTTATTGCAACAAACAAGTACCATTTACAAAATGACCTTGGAATTAATGTGGAAAGTAATGTAGTGAAGAAAACATCATTATCCACGGTAAAGAAAAAATAACGAACAGAAAACGAATAAGTGACCTTTTATGATTTAAACATTCTTAATACATATATAATACTTATTAAAATCATATTAGAATTATAGTAAGTAGTACTCTATAAAAACAAACTTACGTTTCAAATATCGGAAGCCATGTGATGAATTGAATTCTTTATGTTGGATATTCTTTTTATGTGATCGTTCATAACGAGACTGTATACGTTGACCACGTTTAGCTGAATTCATTATAGTTACCGGGAAACTTAAGAGACCCGATGTAGTACCTACATAATAGAAACATATTGCACGGGTTGACTATTATAAGGAAGATATGTAGTGAATAATAGTTATCAGTGAAGTTTTACTGACGTCTTGATTGAAATGGTGAATAAATAATCAATGATCAAGTTATAATAACCGATTACAGGTGTACATAGTTAAAAGTCATCATGACAACAAAAATTTATTTTTCCCTTCAGTTTCTGCTAATTCTTAACGATGGGTATTTTTTTCCACTAAATAATTCTGAGTCTTTGAGATCTATGTTGATTCTGATTAGTGTATTAAATTGTTTATCGCGAACACGACATGAGTCAATAAAGCTGACATTTAAATCAACAATGATGAACTACGTTAAAGTTAAGTGAAAAAACGAGTTCTGATATGTGTAGATGGTATGATATTTAAAATTTTAATTATAGGGTTGTTGAGTTTCATTGAAATCATCGATCGATCAATGCTACACCACCATTAGAAACCTAGAGGTACTGGACAGCAGTTTCGTCCTAGTACGGGATTCATCAGCAGTGCGCGTCCGCGACCCCTAAACGCAGGAATCGGATTCAGAACTTTTAGTCTCACGCGCGAATTCTTAAAGTCTAGACAACTGAGCCGGTATCCAATGGTGTTAACGTCTAGCTTTAAACAATCTAAGATGTTTCGAGAACTCAGTTTTCATCTGCCTCACACCGAACAAAGTTGGATTCCACTGATCACAGCTTCCTACTGGAACTCTGAGAATTTCATCGAGAAGCCAGTTACTAGCGAACACATAATTGATTGAGGTTAGACATTAACACTGTGGGATGACAGTTCAGTGGGCTACACGTTAAGAGTTCGCTCGCGAGAGCTAAAGTCCTGGGTTCGAACCCTGCGTTTGGGGATCGTGAATGCTCATTGCTGATGAATTTCATACCAGGAAGAAACCGCCATCCGGTGCCTCTATGTTTCCGATGGTGGTCTAGCATTGATCGATCCATAAGTTCCCACATAAACGCATACACAAAGCTAAATGGATTTCACCGGATTACACCGCACAGAACCAAATCGACCATATCTGTATCAATAAAAAGTTCACAAGGACCATGAAGGACGTGAGAATGAAGAGAAGAGCCGATTTAGCCTCAGATCATCACTTGATAGTAGCCAAGATGAAACTGAAACTAAGGTATCACTGGACAACTGAGCGAACAGCATCACAAAAGTTTGACACGGACTCCCTTTGAATTACTGACAATTTCAAGGAATTCAAGAGGTCTGTCAGCAATAAGTCCCAAGCATTTCACGATGTAATCAATGCAGAGGAAACTACCATAGAGAACCTGGCAGTCTACACCTACGAACACGGCTCAGTCCACTTGTCAGTAACTTCATAGATTGTCCCAGGATATATGAGAAATGCGTCGAAGACACCTACGGTCGAGAACCAGTAACCTACGAATGGCTTTTTCTCTTACTGGCCATATTTCACAGCCATAAAGTAGGACGGAGCGAACTGATGAATAGAAAACCCGTCCTTTGGTTAACAGACTGATATCTCGCCTTCTGGATAAATGACGCAAGTCGACAAAAGTCAATTGAGCCTTCTGTATGTGTACCGAGGCTTCGTCACACAGCATGCTATCAGCACTGACGAGACTCTCAAGATAAGTAAAGCGGTCGACACCCTCAACTTCACAAGGAATGGATCACTGTTGACACAGTGGATAAAATTCAAGTAAGGAACAACAGGAAGACTGAAATCAATACCGGCTGAACAAGGGCACAGAAAGCAGAAACACAAGCTGAATACACAAAAGCAGACAAGCAAGTGAAGCGAAGCATTAAAGCTGACAAGCGTAAATATGTGGAAGATCTAGCGATGATAGCGGAAAAAGCTGCAAGAGAAGGAAATCTGAGACAACTATACTTATATAACGAAGTTCACTGGAGAATATAGTAGACCAGAACTACCAGTCAAGAACAAGAAAAGCAATCCAATAACCGACATTGATAGAACTTGGGAACAACTGGAAATGGAAGCCCAGGATAGATAAGTTGGAAACCGCTCGTTGGTAGCCTATGCTTTACAAGTGTTAACAGGCCTAAATGAGTAATTATGTAGTAGTTTTATTATAGGTAGCTCTCAACTTACTATTCATCGGCTAACAAATCAATTCGAAAGGAAGATTCAGCTTTGAAATTTTTAATACTAGTTAATATTAATCAACTCAAAACTATAAATGTAGCCAGAAATAATACTGAGCACGTGACTATGACTTTGGGGTAATACACTATTATAAACCCTTCTAAGGCATAACGTAAAACTCTCAAATTACATCGCCTTGATAGTTTATAAGTGTCCTACGTTATAAAAATATTGTTATGCACTAACTCAGTAGGTAAGTTACCCTTTATCAAACGTTTGCTGAGGCTGAAAGTCTGACACAACAATTTAAAAGCTTATCACGGTATTGTAAATAAAATCAAATTCAGTTCAAAAAAGGACGATATTCACAACTGCTGAATTTCAGAGTGGTAAAGAAAGCTAGTGAGCTACTCTTTAATATATATTATTCTAGCAATTGATATCTGTTTGTGAGAAAGGATAATCCATTTTAGCAGAATTCACACTGAAAAATCAAATCAATAGATTTTTTAACGTCAAACAAAAGAAATCTGTTGTAGAACTATTGCTGAATAGTAAAGAATATAGAACATATTGTACATGAATATATATCGCATTAAAAAAATTTAATTACCTGGCCATGTAGATATTACAGCTCGATGAATTGATTCTTTAGCTTCTGATTTACATAAATCAGACAATAATAATCGATTGAATAAACTAGACTTTCCAACATTTGTAGAACCTATCAAATATATTGGACCTTGTGAAAAACAGGACAAAGAAAAATACTTTATCAGGGCTAATCAATTATTAAATTTTTTTTAAAAATGGAAACAGTATTATGGGAAGAAATCAAAAATACAGACCGAAAAGATAATTATATCACTGTTGAATGAGTTTTTTATGGATTTAACAGTTAAATGACCTCAGAAAAGCACGTTTGATGGTCATTGCAGTACTAGTAATAGATTTGAATGAGTAGGTCAGGTATCCAGGCACAGAGGATGATCATTTGAATGGTTGATGACGACTTATTAGTCCCAGGTCATATAACATTGACAGTCTACTGTAACTTTGTACAGATTACAAACCTATTTTTAGTTAGCACTTACTAACGCCACAGTTATCGCTGATATGCTCCCTGGGGTCCACACTATACGTTTCAGGCTTGAACTCATATTGATTACACTGCGATCAGCTACCGCGAGCGGGGTTGTGCACAAGACTGCCGTTAATTTTGAAGTATTTATCTAGACTCTGATTATGCCCTGGTTTGTACTAATGTTATTTTACGTTTCGGTAGTCAACAAATTCAGTCCTAAGTGGATCAATATCAGTAAATTGGTTGCAGCTACTGTTGCAACTAAATATTAAACTAAGCTAGGTTCATGGCTAGTTGTCGACCCACTGAAAGGTATACAGGAACACTAGCTTCGATTGCACGACATCATGAAAATTGTAAGTAAAGTTGCTTTTAGCTTGGCGAAAAGTCCTGCTTATAAGCATTGGGTTTCTATAAAATTCCTTACAATTCGTTGGGGAACACCAGTCTCCTTCGGGTAACCACCAGTGTGACGACAAACGAAGATTGTTGCGTAATCAAATAATGCTAGGTTTGCGTAAGGAGCGCGAAAACTGGTAGTCGGAGCGTGTTAACGAGTTGGAAGGAACAGTTGCAGCTGGTAACTGCTGAAAACTCTTTCAACCCACTCGAGCCACTGGCAGTAGTAAAAGGTATGGTGAGAGTGAAACAATCTGTGAAGATGATGGCATACTAATTCAAAACATCTATCGACATCCTGGACGATGAACAGTTTTCGTCTGTTGCTCCGACAACATTAACCAGACTGTCATGTTTCCGATGGTTTATGGAAACTGAGTCACCTAACGAGGAGGAGGTCCGCAAGGAACCCTAACTCTTGCGGTGCCACAAATCACCAGGTCCAGATGACTCATCTCTGGACTGTTTCAAAGATGGTAGCAACCTTTTGGTTTAGGAACTTACTGCGTTGTTTCCGAACGTCTAACATTTAGAGAGTATTCTAATACACTGGAACGATTCAACAGTTGTCCCTATCTCTAAAAAGGTCCATGTCATCTATGTAACAACTATCATCGGGGTGAGGGGTAAGTTTACTTCCGATTGGGTACAAATAATTAACTTCCATCATACTTTGCCGATTGTTCGAAACCCAGGAAAGATTGACTTGCGATGAATAGGCTAGTTTTCGTATGGTTGATGACATATTGATTATACCTCCACCCTACGCCAAATGTTAGGACACCACCATACTAATCGCAGGCCCACAATCGTTATTTCTTGGCATCATGGCCGCCTTCAGTTCTTTGGACAGGACTGTTCTCTGGGATTATCTATTGAAGAAAGGTGTAATTGAGGAGTTTATCAACATCCTAAAGGCCCTATTTACAAGCACCTCAGGCAGTCTGAGCATATGGTCATCTTTTTCCATTGTTTGATCTAAGCAGTAGGGTTAGGCAAGTTCGCCAAATCCCATCATTCCTCCTAAACTTTACCATCGATGGCGTTCTGGAAGCAGATCTGATGCATGCAAGGGATGGTGTGGTTGTGTTACCTGGAACAAAAGGCTTTTCGACCTTGAGTATGCTGATGATTGTCTTACTGTGCAACGATACACAAGACATGAAATGGGAACTTAAACAGTTGGCAACCAGAATCCGTAAGTTTGGCATGTGCTTTGCACTTGAGCGCCAAGTACTTTTAAAATACTTGCAGGACCCTGAAACTGAATTCACTCTTAGTAGTGAACAGATATTTTAATTTTGTCATATATTGGATTCTTTTGGACGTTTTGGGTCCAGACGTTCTTCAATTTAAATTTTGGTCGTTGGAAACTTTTGGAAATTTGGGTCCAAAAGTTCTTCTATTTTAATTTTGGTCGTTGGATACTTTGGACACTTCAATTTTGGTTCTTTGGTCATACTTTGGATACTTTTGGACATTTTTGATATTATTGGTCGAATACGTTTGGATTAATTTCACATTTGCTTGGTAATCGATTTCGAACAAAAGCATACAATGGAAACTAGAAGCAAAAAGCTGAAGGAAAATGACGAAATGGATGGTAAAATTTCTAAAGCTGTTTGTGGTATGTCTGATTTTAATGATAATAAACTTGATGATATTAGTGTTAATAGTAAGTCTTCATCTCAGTTTAGTACTTCTAGATTGAAGTTAGATAAGGCATTAATTAAGAAGAATTTGGAAAAGAGACTTGAGTTAGAAAAGCAGCTTAAAATGTTAGAGCTTCAAGAGGAAGTTGATATGGCTGAATTAGAATGTAAGCTCATAGAAAACGATAACCAACTGTCAGTAGACAAAGCTGAGATAAATTCTAAGGTCGAAAGGTACTTGTATTGTGATATTGCGCGTAATAAGGTAATTAACACCTCAAAATGCGATTGTATTGATGAATTAAAGGACACGTTACGTGCTACGGTTAATAATACGGTTTTGCCTAAGATCGATATGATGTTTTTTGACGGACAACCAAGCCAGTACCACCGTTTTATTAGTCAGTTTACAAGCATTATAGAGAGTAAACTGTCTGACAAGGGCCAGTTGTTGTCATATTTGTCATACTATTGTAAAGGAAAGGCCAGAATGGCTATTGAAGCTTGTATTTCCTTGCCCAGTCACTTGGGTTACGATAGAGCTAAGCAAATTTTGTATGATCTATTTGGTAAAGAACATCTTGTCACCCGTAATCTTATTACTGAATCACTTAGCCACAAATCTGTTGAAGGATCCGCCGATGGCCTAACTGACTTCGCAATTAAGTTACGTAATGGATGTATAACACTGAAGGAAATGGGGTATATGTCTGATATGAATTCTACGGCTAATCTGGAAATAATTGTGTCACGTTTACCCCTGGAATTACAGAATAAATGGGTGGAAGCTGCTGATAGGATCATGATGACCGGTAGAGAGCCGATATTTGAAGAATTAGTGATGTTTGTAGAAGAAAGAGCCAGGATTGCGCGATCACGTTTTGGTAGATTGGTACATTGTAACTCGAAGTTCCGTAAAGGTAATTATGAAGGCCAAGTTGACAGAAGATCACGCTTTAATGTAGTTAAGCGAGAACCAAGCAACTCATTCAAGGCTTTAAGTTGCGAAATTTGTTTTGGTGATCACAAGGAGAAAGACTGTATGAAGTTATCAAAAATGAATGTTACAGAGAGGAGGCAGGAAGTGAGAAAGCGTGGTCTATGCTACCTGTGTTTAAGGAAGGGTCACATAGCCAAGTCGTGTAACTCGGACACAAGGTGTGACGTTGATAATTGCAAGATTCGGCATAATCCATTATTACATATTGATGCTTCTAACAAACATGTAGTGAATTTTGCTAAGGATTGGAAATTCTCAAAGGTTTGTTTGGGTATCGTTCCGCTTAGACTATATGGCCTCAAAGGATGTCTGGAAACATATGCTCTTCTAGATAATGGTTCAGATACCTCTATTGTATGCGAAGAGTTAGTTAATCGGATAGATCTCAAAGGTAAGCAGACTTCAATAAAGGTGACGACTGTGAATGGAACTTCTACTTGTGAATGTCTGGAAGTAAATTTAGAGGTATTTTCATTAGATGAGCGGGGTTCTATAAAGATCAACAAGGCCTATACGACCAAGAAACTTCCGATCGATTACGCAGAACCTTTAACCGAACTCCAGCTGAGAAGGTGGAAACATTTAAAGGACATAACTCTACCGAGGCTGCAAAGTAATCTAGTAGGAATATTGATTGGGTGTGATACTCCAGATGCACATTGGGTCCTTGAACAACGCCTGGGAGACAGGAAGCATCCGTTTGATGTGCGTACTCATCTTGGTTGGATGATTTCAGGTCCTAAAGAAGCATCGAGGTCTATACATCAAGTTCAGTGGTGTCATTGTTCTACTAATGATATTTTGCGAGATATAGAAAGATTATATAATCATGAGTTCGAGTATGCAGATGGGTTTCGTAATGAATATTCTGTCGAAGATAAAAGTGCTCTAGAAATAGTTAATAGTTCCTTTAGACTGGAAGGTGGCCATTTCCAAGTTGGTCTACCCTGGAAGTATGATAAGCCAAGGCTACCGAATAATTTGGAACTAGCTGAACGTAGACTAGAGTGTTTAAGGAAGAGGTTTATGAAGGATAATAGTCTTCTGGAAAAATATTAACTTGTAATGAGTAAACATTTAAGTAAAGGCTACATCATTGAAGCTAATAAGGAGGAATTCGACCGTGATGCTGTTTGTTGGTATATTCCTCATCATCCTGTTATCAACCCTAAAAAGCCTGGAAAATTAAGAATTGTTTTTGATTGTGCAGCTGTCTATCAAGGTTGTTCTCTTAACGATCAGCTTTTGAGAGGACCAAATACTGTAAATAGTTTAATAGGTATACTTCTACGATTCAGATTATGCAACGTAGCATTAGCCGCTGACATCGGGGAGATATTCCTTCAAGTAAAGATCCCGAGACGAGATAGGGGAGCGTTTCGACTATTATGGTGGGAAGATGGTGATATAGGACGAAAGGCTAAAGAATATTGTTTGACAGTTCATCCGTTTGGAGCCGTGTCCTCTCCTTTTTGCGCTAATTTCGCTCTTCGGAAGACGGTAGATATATTCGGAAAGGAATTGAATAAAGATGTCCAGGAAGTTGTAGATAAGAGTTTCTATGTCGACGACTATTTAACTTCAATTGATAATGTGCAGGATGCAAT